TCTGGATTAGATTTTATGCATTCTTCTGGTTTTCCTGAGAGTAATTTGATGCATTTTTACTGAGGCAGATTGAAACGTGGGGGGCAGCCCCCCTGTTTCCTATGCCACTGCGTTGTTTCTTCTTTTTACGTCCTCACTTCCTTTCTAAAGTAGAAAACAATTTTTCTATCATAACTTTTGGTTGTATGGTTGTAATTAAGCACAAAGCTACACAATGGGCTATCTGAACTCTGCCCACCACGGGTATCGAAACCCGGATTCTAGCATTGTAAGTCCGCAGACGTATCGCTGTGCCACTGGGGGCATTTATCATAACTATCAAACGTCTTAATTATTGGCATATTCGCTATTGTCACATTTTAATTTTTTTTATGATTATTGAATACCTAATTGTATCGAGAGTTAAACATACTATAAATGTTATTTTTATCAATTAGGTGTCTTTCATAAAAAAAAAACTATTTAATACTGAGAATTATGCTGACAGTATCATATCACTAAAATACATACTGCTATTTTGTATAATTATACGTATTAATGTAATATTTACACATTCTAAAAATAAACGTAAAATAACTTGGTTTAAGTTGTTTATCATACGAAACCTTGTTAGTTTTCTAACACCAGCCTTTGACCTTTTTTTTTGTTATCTGATGTTTGGTTATTCGAGGTCTAACTTTTACAGCAGTTAATAGTGTGAATGATAATGGTTTGTTTATTTCGCTGTGTGTTAGTAAAATATTTCCAAACTTCTATCAAACAATATATCTTACTCATAAATCGACTTCCAACACTCGCCGAATTTCAAGAAAGTTGAAGGTCCTGAAAGACAAAAAATGCGTCATTAGGTATAACTAGATATCTTTAGGTTAATCTTTACATTATGGTTTCAAATAAAGTTCCAAACTTATAACGTACGATGTGGATATATCATATTTGTGCTTTATACTGAAGATATAGTACTCCCTAAGAATACGCCTCTAGTTCGATTCTAAGAATAGTTGTTTGACCTTGACATTCGAAAATACTTTCTAGATCTAAAAGTGAGTTGTCATACCCTAGATAGAGCAGGCAGTAACATATTTATGATATCAAATTATACTCTGTCGTCGTCAGTTTCATAGGATATTCTAGAACTCTCAGAAAACAAAAACTTTCGATAGGAGAGGTTATGATTACTAACGATGAAAACGAAACGCGCATTATATTTTGTGTAATTAATGTTTTGTATTTCTTTTATTCGATAGCCGGGGCCCGGCATGGTCAGGCTGTTAGGGAGCTCGACTCGCAATCTGAGGGTCGCTGGTTCGAATCCCCGTCACACCAAACATGCTCGCCCTTTATAATGTGACGGTCAATCCCACTATTCGTTGGTAACAGAGTAGCCCAAGAGTTTGTGGTGGGTGGTGATGACTAGCTGCCTTCCCACTTGTCTTACACCGCTAAATTAGAGACGGCTAGCGCAGATAGCCCTCGTGTAGCTTTGAGCGAAATTCAAAAACCAAACAAACAATCGATAACCGGTAAAGTCACTTACTGGAGATTAACATGGAGAACGTGGTGCAGAATGTAAACTACTTCCAAAATACTCTGACAAATACGTCATCGTCCAGTCTTCTTCGAAGTCTTTTGTACCACTTTCTTTATTTCTTTACTTCTTTAGATAGAGCTGGATCTGAAAGTTAAACGTATATCATGAATAATCTCTTAGCTTCTAAAGCTTGAATACTTTATTTTATTTTTTCAACTGGTTCACCAGTGAATAATTATTGGTCATTGTTTGTCAAGGTATAGTTTCAGCGATGTTAGATCAACTATTTAACTACTATAGATTTTCACCTACCTCTCGGTGCAGTGGTTGTTTTCACAAGGATTGTATCTGTTATTGTCGCAGGTTTATCCGTAGATGAGTCATTTGACTCGCGTTGCTATTCTCTCCTTTACATTGGAGTTATGTATGAAATACCATCTATAGAATACAACATTTGTACAAAGAACATTTCGAGAACTAATTTTCTAGTATTTGAGCTTCAGAAGCTAAGAGATTATTCTTGATATATGTTTAACTTTTAAATCCAGCTCTACCTAAAGAAATAAAGCCGTTAAATATTGCCAAGCTACGATAAATATTCTGTAAAGGTGCCCGGCATGGCCAGGTGGTGAGGGCACCCGACTCGCAATCTGAGGGTCGCGGGTTCGAATCCCCGTCCGACCAAACATTCTCGCCCTTTCAGCAGTGGGGGCGTTATAATGTGACGGTCAATCCCACT